GATTTAATATTATTAATAAACTTTTTAATTTATTTTATAAAATGTGATGTATCAGAAGTGATGATACGGCCTATATATTGAAATGACAATAAAAACCTCAATATATATATATATTAGTTATTTGTGTTATAAGAATTCAGATAATTTTATAAAACTATTGGTAATACCAGTAAATTAAATTACGTTAGAACAGGTATTTTTCAAAATATCAATATTCATACAAGCACAGGAGTGTAATGACACGAATTACCACGTAAAGCCAAAATTGAAATTACATCCGCGTTAGTTCATGCTTATACGTAATTGATAAAAGGATTTTACTTTTATAATTAACTCAATTGTACTCAATAAAATAAAAAATTTGTTAACATCGTTATTTAAAGTATTTAAAACCAATAAGATCACATGATTTAGCAGACCCATAGAACCGCGTAATCATATAATCATGTATCATATATTCTGAAGTGCACTACCAATTAAATTTGCATATTAATTTTTAATTATTGAATAATCGATTCGACTAACTGATAAAAAATTTAATCCAACGAGAATTGTTCAAACCTTCATTATCTCATTAAATTTCTCACTGTCATAGACTTCTATAACCTGGGTGGTGCTTTTGTGAACATTAGATATATTCGTTTCATTATCTATATTTGACGCTTCTTCATTGCCCGTTATCTAGATATTATATTATAATTTTAGCAACTAAAAATATTAAAATTACCTTTTCCATTAATTTTCTATAAGTTTCTCCTATTATAATCACTGTAGTTTCTCCATTAAATGTTACAGAAGAAACATTTCTTTCAGTAGCATTCTAGATCAATTTAACTGCAATTTAACGATATCAAATTGTTCTATCACCGTTTCAATTTTATTCATCATAAAGCTTAAAAATGGAATTCAGAGTATTACGAAGCGTTAAAATATTTATCATTATTTAAATATAACGTATTTAACTATTAAGATTCATAAAACAGAATGAGATTTAGTATAAATGATTCGAGTGATAAAAATGTTGATATTACCCAAATTCACACAAGACTCTACCAATTTATGTATTTGTAATTAATCAACGAATTTAATTGAAAGGAAACAGCACTATGAACTTGAACTTGCTTCGTATAATCTGCTAATATTTCATTGTTGTTAACTTCAAAAAAAAGCAATTAAATTGGTTTTATTGTAAATTAATAACCTCTCTTTATTGCTAGAAAATGTTTAGATCAACTTTTTAAAGCTCATCGTCTTTAAATAATTTAAATAATTTAATTAAATATTTTAGATGCAAAAAATGAAATAATTAAACATTATTTTCTATGTTTAACATAATTTAAATTGAGCTACATAACAAATGTTTACATTCAAAATAGATTATTTAAATACATGAGATCGTATCAAAATTAACTAATTTTAATTGATTTAAGTCTTCAACTTCATAAATAAAATAATTTAATTAATATTAGTATATTAACAAACAAAATAAATTTATTCTGCAAAATCACTTTTGTTTAGTTAAATATAAATACTGTACTTAAATTAACAAAGGAATCTTTTATTCTTATTTTAAGAATAAAGCAATGTCAAAAGAAGCAATTTTTAAAGAGTCCTTAAAAATTATTGATGAAATTCGCAGTAGGGAATGCAAAAATAAAGATAAAAACAAGAAGAGTAATGTCAACCCAATAATTAAAAAGTATAAAGATGACTGAAAAAAATATAATAATTACATTTATTCATTTATATAATTTTATAAATTACAATACTTTGAACAAAGTAATCATTTTACTTATGTTTTAAAAATGAAAAAAGATGAAGTTTTAAATAGAGATGGAGAAAAGGAAAAAGAAAAACTTCAAGAATCCTTGAAAATAATTGAAGAAATTCGCAAAGATAATGAAAAACGTGAAACAAAATCATCTAAAAATGAATACGATATACTGCTTAAATCAGCTATAAAAGAGTTCAAAAGAGGAAATTATTCGTCCTCGATTTGCTCTTTAACTAGCATTATTTCTGCTAACCATAAAAATAATCAAGAACAATTATTGGCAGTTGATGCAAAATTTTGGTTAGCAAGCATATATGAAAAAAGGCTTATGTTTTAAAAAGAATGAAATGGATCAAGCTTTTAATTACTATGAAGAGGTTTTTAATAGTAATTCAAATTTTAAAGAAAATGCAAGAGATAAATTAATAATGTGTTACTCTCAAGGAATTGGTGTTAAAAAAGACAAATCAAAAGCTGATAAACTTTACAATGGTAAACCTAGCAAAAATCAAAACTCTTGAAGCATTTTTAACTAAATACATACGAATAAAGTAACCAAATTAGTACAAATAAAAAAATATTTGCATCAAGAAACAAAAAGAATAATTTGACCAATAAATTAATGTCTACAAATATTACTTTTGTTTGTGAGAATAATATAATATAAATGTTCAAAAATCTAATTTTTTTCCCATTTTAATTGATAAATAACTTTGTTCCAACATATTTTTATAAACAATACTAATCAATTTCTAATAATCTCTTCAATAAACTTTAAAGTCTTATAATTGTGATTTTAGGACAATATCAAAAGTGTGCATAATTTGGGTTGTTGTATCAATTAAATTTATCCCTTATTATTTAAAATTTTCTTTAGAAATTTGATTTATTAATAACTATCATGATTTTCAATCGTTATAAATTTTTATCATAAAATTATAAAAAGAATTGTGTTTACAAATTATCTTTTGTGTCCTATTTAAGAGATGTTTTTATTACTTTAATATTTGTACTGTTATTTGAAATTTTTTTTTTTTTTTTTTTTTTTTTTTTTTTTTATATTGCCAACGTAGAAACTTTATTTTTATTTAAAGGCTTTTCTCTAATGTATATACAGTTTCTAATTACATTTGTGCTACTATTACTAGTCACCCAATGTGGCATTATACTCCTTATTTTCCTAT